CAGGAAGACGTGGGCAAAAGAACCTTCAGGCCCTAGCTTTGCACTCAGGGCCAATTGGCGGGATAGGCGGCTGTCAAGGACGCACCCAAGAACCCAAGAATGTCCTCTGCACCCTTGTATGTCCAGCCAATCCTGTTTCTGGGAGTGGTGTCCTTTTCTGGGGCACGTCCTCTGAACAGGAAGCCGTTCTCAAACCAGTGAGGCACGTTCTGGTTCGGTGTCGTCGACCCGAGCTTATCTTGAATTCCGTTAAACACCTGCTTGCTCTGAGGGTCACGCTGATACACCCAAATGACATCAAACACGGCTGCCTTTGCATAGTTCGGCGAAAGCACCGCGACGTAGGGGTAGCCTTCGATCTTCTGCTTCTTCCACCAGCTCCGCACATCATCCGGTTGTTGGCAGTTCTCAGGCGGGATCTTGTAGAAGTACACTTCCTTGGGCTGAGCCCCAGCTGGCAAGCCCAAGAGCTGGTGGGCCGAGACGTGCTTGGCTTGGACGCATCGGAGAGCGAGCGCGATGAGCACGATGGCCTGCCAGTCCATGCCACTATCGGCCTGTCCGGCCAGCACAGGAATCTCCTCGACCCACTGAGAGAGTTCCCCCAACTCCAGGTAAGATAACATGCAACCGACGTACGCTAGGATCCAGCGAATCTCCCCTTTGCCTGGGCATTCGGTGAGGGCATCGAAGGCTCGTATCGCCCGTTTGTCTCCGCAGCGCCGGCCTGTGAAGAATTCCGTCAGAAAATCCTTGGTCACGCCTGCGTCAAGGGTAGGAGCGCTTATTGCTTGGAATCTGCCTTGGATGCTGAAGGACGTTTTCTGCGTCTGGACGGAGTAGATCAGGGAAGGTATGAAGCCGTAGAAGACGGCTTGGCAAATTGTCAGTCCTGAGCATTCGTTGTCCATGTTCCTGAGCGCAGGCATCTGCGTCGACCTAGGCATCGCCACTGCCACTGCCTCACGTGAGCTGCCCCCGCCCTTGCCCAGCAGCTGGTCCAGGCCAGCACTGCTGGGCACGTGGGTGGAGAATATGAGGTGCTTCCCTGCGCGGTCTAGGAATTCCCGGCGCAGGAAGGCGCCCACCTCCGCGTAGTCATCTGTCGCACTCGGCTGCAGCAAGACGTTAAGCTCATCAATGATCAGCACGACGTCGGTCTTGTCCTGCAGGTATGCCTTCAACGCCTCCTCGCTGCAGCGCAGACGAGACAAATTCTCCCTCCTCTGCGATTTCTGGTTCATGAGAGCAACAGCGATAGCCCTCAGCAAAGTGGCCAACGGCTTTTCGTTCGCCACCTTGTCGATTGC